CAAATTTCTTGACAACCAGTTATGTGGGTGTGGCCTAATTTGTGGGTGTGGCTTGGTGGTCATGTGACTGGTTGGGTGTGGCTTGTATGTAAATATTATTATAAATATTTATGTAAATATTGAATTTTTTTATTAAAAAAGCAACTTTTACCCAAGATAAGGCAAAGCAGGCAGGCAGATTGAGTTGCTCACAGAACCACAAATTCATTCAGAGATCTATCTTTCTGCCATCAGCTACCTGAGTCTGTCACATAAAATTTGCTTGCAAGCAAACTCATAAAATTTGCCAGCAAGCAAACTCACAAAATGAACTCACAACACACCATGTATGTAAATATTGAATTTTTTATTAAAAAAGAGCAACTTTTACCCAAAATGAGGCGAAGCAGGCAGGCAGATTGAGTTGCTTACAGAATCACAGATTCATTCAGAGATCTATCTTTCTGCCATCGATTGCCTGAGTCTGCACTGAAAAATAGAAGCTTTGGTCCTAAGGAAAGTTTAGCTCTGCTTTTAGATTAGCTAGAAAGCAAGAAATCCAAATATTTCCTGCTTTCTAGCTAATCTAAATCTCCTGGCACATCAGAACAGATGCAAATTTAACAGATTTCATTGGATTTCTTGCTTTCTAGCTAATCTAAAAGCAGAGCTAAACCTTCCTTAGAACTGAAGCTTCTATTTTTCAGTGCAGACTCAGGCAATAGATGGCAGAAAGATAGATCTCTGAATGAATCTGTGATTCTGTAAGAACAGCTGATGATCGGGGTGGGGGGAAGGAAAAATAGCAACTTAGCAGGCAAGTTTGATGGCACCCATGCCAAGTAAGGAGTGACTGGTCAGGGTGGGGCAGGGCCAGCCAGTGGCGCGATTTGCCCATTCTGCGGCGTGTGGAATCCCACCCCTGGTGAGAGTGCATTTTGCGCATGCGTGTAGATCATTTCCTAAGCTGTTTCGCCCAGACAGTTGACAAGCGCTGTGCGCGGGTGCAGGCAGCATTTGAAATACCTCTTCTTTCCTGCTTTTTCAACCTCAGCTGTGCCTTGCAAAGCAGCTGAGGTTGAAAAAACAGGAAATAAAAGGACAGCCAAATACCCGGGTGGGCGGTTGAGCCAAACAGAGCATCAGGCACCAAACTGGTTTGGTGCCTGCTGCTCTTCAGAGCTACCAGGTCTATAGAACTGGGCCAAACCGGTAGCATCCCACTCCTGGATACAACTTATGAAGAATGATCGCAGAAATAGAATCTGTTGAGTTTAATGAAAAGGAGGACAAGGGGCGACATGATAGCAGTCTTCCAATATTTGAGGGGCTGCCCCAAAGGAGAGGTGGGGTGGGGGGCAAGCAATTTTCCAAAGCACCTGAGGATAGGACAGGAAGCAACAGGTGGAAACCTATCAAGGAGAGAAGCAACCTAGAATGAAGGAGAAATTTTCTGATATTAAGAACAATTAACTAGTGGAACTGCCTGCCACCAGAAATTGTGGGGCATCACTGGAGGCGTTTAAGAAAGAACCTGGACTGCCATCTGCCAGAAGTGGTGTAGGGTCTCCTTCTTGGGTGGTGGGAGGGTTGGACTAAATGACCTATAAGGTCCCTTCCAGCTCAGTTATTCTATATGAATCTGTAACGCGTATATTTAAGGCAGTGTTTTTCAACCTTGGCAACTTTAAAGCTTCCCGTTTAATTGTCTGTCCCACTTTTGATGTTGATTAATTGATTTTGTCATGGGTTATTTTTTTATCTTGGCTCAAGTCAAAGATGTATTACGTCTACTGCATTGCCGCCCTCTATTAAGTAAGTTACCCTTATCTAAAAAAAAATCTCTATATATAAAAGTGAAAGACCCTCACGCATCATCACAAAATCTCCAGAACTATCAAGTGTACAAACTTGAAATTGGGCACATTATGTTCCTCTTGGCTTCTAGGAGCTCCCTAACAAAGGATTTTTCCAAATGACCCTCAGAGCATTTAGAGTATTTCTATTATTATTATTATTATTATTATTATTATTATTATTATTATTATTATTATTATTATTATTATTATTATTATTCGTATTATTAGTATTAGTATTATTAGTATTATTAGTATTATTATTATTATTAGTATTATTGTTGTTGTTATTATTAGTATTATTAGTATTGTTATTAGTATTAGTATTATTGTTGTTATTATTATTGTTATTATTATTATTGTTGTTGTTGTTGTTGTTATTATTATTATTATTATTATTATTATTATTATTATTATTATTATCTGATGCTAAGGAGTTCGACTCCCTCTCTCCACCTGAAAAGAAATCTGCTCCAAATGCAGGGAGACCTCATAAGCCGTTGGTGGGTGGGGGGAGATGCACTCTGCACATGCTCAGAGAACCCGTTGTCCTGGAATTCTTGCTAAGATCTCCTCTGTCCTTCCAAATATTTCCATGTTATCTTGTCCCAAACCACTCTTGCCGCCAGGGGCCATTTTGGGGGGAAAACATACTCTGCATATGCTCAGGTACCCCATCCTCCTGGAATTCCTGCTAAGGACTCACTTTTGCCCCCTTCTATACAGTTGGCAAAAGCGGATCCGATGACTCCCCCAGGGACGCTGCTGCGACCACCATAAATAGGAGTCGGCGGCCAAGCACCCGAATTTGGATGGCAGGACCACGGGGAGGCTTCCATGGTCATTAAGTGGAAGAATTGGCCCTAAATCGCATTTTTTCAGTGCCGTTGTAATTTCAAACGGTCGCTATATGGAATGGTTGGAAAGGCAGTCCTTGACTTACAACAGTTCCATTTAGTGACCATTCAAAGTCGCCATGGCGCTTGAAAAAAGGGTCTGACAAACATTTTTCACACTTACGACCATTTGCAGGGTCCCACGATCTGAAATTAAGACGCTTGGCAAATGGACTCGTATTGATGACAATCGCAGCATTCCCGGGGTCATGGGATTTCTCCCCCCTCCGTTTGTGACCTTTGAACCTGGGGCTCTGTGACCATCATCAATACGAGTCCCTTGCCACGCAGTGTCCATGGGGGAAGCTGGATCCACTTAATGACTGCATCTCTGATTTAATAACACCGCCGATTCACTTCCCAACTGCGGCAAGGAGGCAGAACTCACTTAAGGAGTGTCTCGCTTAGCGACATAAGGTTTGGGCTCAATTGTGGTCGTAAACCGAGGACTGTTGCGGGAGCGCCATCGCTTTAGACTTTCAAGAAGGGATTGGACTCCCATCTGTCAGAAATGGTGTAGGGTCTCCCGCTTGGGCGGGGGGTTGGACTAGATGGCCTATAAGGTCCCTTCCAACTCCGATTACCTGTTATCTGACTAGCTGTAGCACAAAATGGCCTGGCCGTTACTAGGCAGGGAAGCATCGAAAAAGCAGGGGTGCCTTTGGGCTCAAGAGTGCCGATGCGGGTGTGTGTGCATGTGTTTGTATTTGTGCATTTGGGACCATACAAATACAGACACCTACGTGTGCCAATGCAAGTGTGCAAAATTTGCCTTCCTACCACAAGGCAAGGCTACCTTCTAACAGGCAGGGGCTGCCTTTGGGCTCGAGCGTGCCGGGGCGTGTGTGTTGCACGTGTGTGCATTGGTGTAAAACATGCAAAGTCGTAAACGGGGGCGGGGTAGCCGCCTGAACGTCAGGTATGCCCTTGGGCCGGAGTCTGCCGGTGTGTTTGTGTGCCTGCGTGAGCGCACGGGTGCACCTATGCCTGTGCACCTGGGCTTGAGTATGCCAGTGTATGAGTGTGTGTTTGTGCACGTGCAAACGGGCAAAACTGCTTTCCTACCATAAGGCAAGTGGCGCCTTCTTAAAAGGCAGGGAGTGCATTGGGGCTCAAGCGTGCCAGTGTGTGTGTGTGTGTGTGTGTGTGTGTGTGTGATTTACATGCGTGCATACGCATTGGTGTAAACGTGCAAAATAGCACAAGGCATGGAGGAAGGGGGCAGCTTTCTAAGGCAGGCGTGCACTTGGAAGGGCGTCTGCCGGCGCCTTTGTGTTTGTGTGAGTGTGTGTGTGTGTGTGCGCGCGCGTATAAGCGCACCTGTGTAAATGTGCACACTGGGCAGGCATCCGCGGTGGCACCAGCTCCAATGTCGCTGGCTGTCGTACTGAGTTTTGCGGGGAGACAGTTGCCATGGCGATGGCTGAAGGGCCACCCCAGGCAGCCGGAGATGATGTGACAGGGAGGCTGGGTGTTGTGGGGGGGGGGGAAGAGGGAGGGGAGGGGGGGACACACGACAGCCAGCACCCCCCCCTTTTGGAAAAGACCCCCCCAAAAATCCCCCCAGCACCCTTGCAAGGGAGGGAGAGGTGTGGAAGCACAGCGGGGGGGGGGAAGGAACCGGCCTTCTTCGTCTTTGCCCCGCCCCCCCCCAGGCTGGCTGGGGACTCTGGGATCTGTAGTCCGTGCCAGTGGGGAAAGGAGGGGCTCGGGCAACGCGTGGGCTGATCCCTTGCATCCCTGCCCCCCCTCATCTAAAGGTAAAATTTCCCACCTCCCCCGACATAGGCGGTCCACAACTTACAACCAACAACCGAGCACCAACATTTCTGTCGCTGAGCGAGACAGCCGTTCCATGAGTGTTTTGGGCCCCCATTTTACCGCCTTCCTGGCTGCATTTCTTCACTAAAGCCCCTGCAGTCGTTCCCCTTAGCAAGCTGGCGTTGTTGTTAAGGGAATCACTGCAGTCGCTAAGCGAGTCATACAGTTGTTAAGCGAATCGCTGGCTACTCCCGTTGATTTCGCTCATTGGGGGGGTCGCAAAAGGGGATCGGGTGAGCCCCGGGATGCTTGAAAACCATCATAAATACGAAACGGTTGCCGAGCATCCGAATTCTGACCCGTTGCAACGGTGGTTAAGTGTGAAAAATGGCCCTAAGCCCCCCACTTTTTTTCAGCGCAGCTAGAAGGCTGAACCGTCACTAAATAGAATGGTCGTAAGCCGAGGACGGCCTGTCAAGAAATCCCACCCCTCCAAAAGCAGGCTTACTGATGATGTAATAGTCCTGGTTGGACTTGAACTCGTGACCCCAGAGGTTGGGACTGTACTCCTGGAACTTGATGGTGAAGCGCATGTCGTGTTCGGGCCGGTCGCAGGTGAGGAGCAGGTTGGGGGTGCGCAGGATCTCGCAGCGCTCGGCCTGCTCGGTCTGGACCAGGTACAACTTATAGTATTCGTAGTCCTCGGTGGAGAATGGGCCCAGGGGTACGGAGCGGGGGCAGATGAGGTCCAAGCGGTCCCCGATCTGGGGGTACAAGACGTAGCCCCCCTCATTCTGGAACCTGCAGGGAAGAGGAGAAGCAGCCCATCAGCCCGACAAGAGATTAACCACAGGTTAACAGAGCCAGAAGGGGGCATGGAGGTCATCTAGTCCAACCCCCCCTACTCCCATTCCAAAAAAAAATGGCCTGTCCAGTTTCTTCTGGAAAACCTCCAGCGTTGGAGCACCCACAGCTTCTGAAGGGAAACCACACGCTGTTTCTACAGATTAACAGAATTGGAAGGGAGCTTGGAGGTCATCCAGCCCAACCCCATTACAAAAGTGGACACTTTATCCCATTCCAGACCAACGCCAGACTCTTCTCGAAAACCTCCAGGGTTGGAACAGCCACAACTTCTGGAGGAAAGCCACTCCCAATGATTCTACAGATTAACAAGGGATCTTGGAGATCATCTAGTCCAACCCCCCCGTCCAAGCAGGAGACCCCAGCCTATTTCTGACCTACCGTAGGGATGAAGCTTCCACAAACAGGGAGAAATCTAGGTGCTAAATTCCACTTGGAAGCAACAGGTAGTTCTTGACTTATAACAGTTCATTTAGTGACCGTTTGATGTTGGAACGGCAGTAAAAAAAAGTGACTTAGGGCTGTTTTTCATACTTACGACCGTCGCAGTGTCACCATAGTCATATAATCAAAATTCAGGCAATTGACTCGTATTTATACGGTTGTAGTGCTCTGGGGTCATGTGATTCACTTTTGCAACCTTCAAAGGGGAAGCCAGATTCACTTAACGACCATGTGACTAACCTAACAACCGCAGTGTTTCACTGTGGCAAAAAAGGTCATAAGACGGAACCAATTTGACCAATGTCTCACTTAGCAACATCAATTTGGGGCGCAATTGTGGTACTCGATTTATGATCAAAATTTTCAGTCCCTAACCAATGGGGTCGCAAAGCGAGCATTTATGTGTCCAGACCCAATTTTACCAAGATTTTTTTTACCTTGAGACGTTAAATGAATCGTGTGGTTCTTAAGTGAATCATGTGGCCGTTAAGTGAACCTAGCTTCCCCAATCGACTCTGTTGATGGGAAGCCGGCTGGGAGGGTCACAAAACACAACTCCATGTGTGTAAAGTGATACAACCGTTCTGAATGCCAGTCAGTGGCCAAGCCCCCGAATTGTGATTGTGCGACGGTCGTAACTTCGAGGACAGGTTGGAAGTCCCCTTTTCCCCCCCAAAAAAAGTCAGAATTCTGAAGTGTCAGGACATAAATGGGACATTTGTACTGTGTCTCCTTTCTACCAAAGGCCGTGAATGTCTCCCATGGGAAAAAAAAATGGGATTTTTCTCTCTCTTGTTTTCAGTGAAGTCTGTTTATTTATTTTCCCAAATCCCCACTTCAAAAATAAGGAAAACGGGATCCTGGAAGGAAAACACACCTGAGGTTGTTTGGAAAACTCCCAAGGAGCCATTTGTCTGCTTCCCTGCAGGGATCAAAACCGGATTCAAACCAGATTCTATTTGGTGGGGAAAACTACCCGATCTGTGATCTCTCGTTGTTTTCTTACAGACGTTTTATGACCCAACTAGAGAACGTCATCAATGCTGGAAAGGAAGGAGGGGTTGTGGAGAGGAGGAGGAGGAGGAGGAGGAGGACTGTGGGGTCCTTGGTGTTCTCTGAGCTTGGTAGTTTTCTTCCAGACATTTCATTACCAAACTAGGGAATCTCATCAGAGCTAGAAGGGAGAGAGGTTTGGTCTCTGTTTATATATGAAACATTTGCAAGAAAACCAAAGAGCACCAAGTATCCCTCAGTTCCTCCTCCTCCTCCTCCTCCTCCTCCTCCTCCTCCTCCTCCTCCTCCTCCTCCTCCTCTTCTTCCAATCCTCCTCCCTTCCAGCACTGATGAGGTTCCCTAGTTGGGTCATGAAATATCTGCAAGAAAACCACCAAGCTGAGAGAGCACCAAGGACCCTGAAGTCCTCCTCCTCCTCCTCCTCCTCCTCCTCCTCC